ACAAAGCAGCAGTATTTCTCCAGACTAAATGACAATCTTCTAAATTACTGAGATCCTATTTACTCTCCAGCTTTGGAGTTATCTGCTTTAAGGTGCATATTTGATTTGAGAGTTATAGTAGGAAGTCTTTTTCAGAGGAGCTACAATATCCAGAGTCCTACACAGTGAAGAAGTAAAATTATCAACAACATAACTGACCTCTGTGGGATTAAAATAAGTAGAGATAGATAAGTTCTTTTCCTGGGTTTTCAGTACTTTCCTCATTTTGAACTACTTACTGCCTCGTTGCTAGTTTTATCTCCACTCCAGTTTTATCGACTTCTCTACACCCTTCTGTCATGTTACCACTCTTGGTAACCCTGCTTCACAGTCAGGTCATGAAGTATAAGAAACATTAGCCTGTATCTAATTTAAGCGTAACAACTTCCCATTTCAGTTGCATATTCACTCAGATATACCGCGCTCTCTGTGCATCACTCATTTAAGATGATGTCTTGTGCTTAATTGCTTTGCAGTTGTGGATCTGGTGTACTGGCGCCACATGTGGAGGACTGGTGTGGTGTTTACAGGGCTGGTAATCGGTCTGGCCAGCTTGTTCCAGCTTAGTGCTGTCACTGTGGTCTCCAACGTCTTTCTGGGTGTCATGTGCATCACCTTCCCCCTCCGTTTTTATTATAAGCTCCTGGAGCTCCTGCGCTGGAACCCCGGGGTTCACCCCTTTCAGTGAGTCCATCAGTGTTCACACACAGGTTTTTCTTTTCCAGCTAAATATGCTGCTCCTCTGCTTTCTGGAAGCATGTTGAACTTTCTCACAAATGTGTTATCCTGTGCTTAGGTCATGTCTGGATTACGACAGCTCTCTGACAAATAAGGAGACGGTGATGCTGGTGGAGGAGACGGTGCTGCTGATCGCATTTGCTGTCACAGAAATCAAACGGCTCATTTTCATTGAAAACATATTTGACTCTATTAAGGTATGAGTGTGATGGTAAAGCAATAGTATAGATGTCACAAAGCCAAGATTAAAAGACTCTTTGACTTTGGTGCCACCTGGTGGCAGCTACACACCACACACGCTCGTGTGGGGCTCTGAGCAGCTGTACTGTTTTAATCCAGGCTATATTGCTTAAAAGCAGCTAAAAATTAAACAGAGCCACCATGCAGTGTTCATTTTCTCATGGGATCAAGACTACATTCAGCAGCTTTAAATCTCAGCGAGACATTTATTAAAGCAGCATCATTCACAAATCAAATTACAGTTAATAAACTAAACTATTAAACTGTTCAGTAATCTTTTTCTGTGCTCTTTCTCTCAGTTTGTTGTGCTTCTGTATCTGCTGACCTATGTTGGCATCCAAACTAATGGACTGACCCTGGTAATAAGTGGTAAGTTGCACCCGCTGTATACTTATGCTTTGTGCTAACACGTATCTAATTTCCTCCATGTCTCTTTCCTCCACCTATATTAAGCTCCCAGCACCTTCAAATGTATCTTCCTCTTTGTAAGACTCATGAGCGATCTATCATCTCAGTAGTTAAAGTGTGACTGGGTTTAGGCAGAAAAAAGCACTTTGCACATGACGGTTAAGATTTAAGGAATAACTTTTACTGTAAACCTCAAGTTCCTTTTGAAGTCATGCCTCCATCAGTCGCCTCAGATGACTGGTTTGCACCAATTATTTAAGTAGGAGAATGTTTTCATTAGAACCAATTAGATTATTTTTGTGCAATGCTAAAGTGACATAAAGCCCAGGAGGTAGAGTGGGTCATCTACTGATTGGAAGGTTGGTAGATTGATCCTTGGCTCCTCAACACTGCATATTAAAGCATGCTTGAGCATGATACTGAGCCCTGAGCTGCCTCTGATGCATCTACTGAAGTGTGTGTGTGTGTGTGTGAATGTTAGACAAAGCTCTCAAAAACAAAGATTGAAAGTGGAGCCTAAATGTGTGTGTGAATGGATGAATGTGGCTGGTAGTAGAAAGTGTTTAGAGTGCTCAGCTAGAGTGCTCTAAAAGTAGCAGTCCAGTCATTTACATGAATAATTTGTCTGTCCAGCTGTGATCGCTGTTTTCTCCCTTCCTTTGCTGTACAAAAAGCAGCAGGTGAGTTTATTTTATGTTAAAAAAAAATTTCAATGAAAATGATTCAGCAAAGTTGATTAATAGTTAAAACCAAACAAAACAGAAACATATCTTAGTAAAAATCGCATGTAATTCTATGTAAGATGCAGAATTTGCTGGTTTGCACTGACCTTTGTGATATTTTGGTGACAGGTGCGGATAAGAAGGATTGCTAGAGCCGTCAGAGCTTTTCTAAAGAGAGTCAAAAGCCTGTAAGTGAGCTACCCATTTATGTGATATTGTTTTCTGTTCTTGGTCATGTCATGCTAGCAAAATTGTGGCTTTTTCTTCGGTGCTGGTATTTTCTTCATTGTGATGCCCCCGTTTTGTTGTAGGTTCTCCAGTGTGTACGATTCGGTGAGGCCCCCTCCAGCCCCTGCACCAAAACCTGCAATTTCAGCTGCGAATGTGCCCAAACAGAAAGCCAAGTCAAAGTAACTGTGTTGGTCACGTATTGAAAACACCCAGCATTTGGGATTTGGGGAAAGACTGGAAGGGCACATCCTCTGGGGGGCGGCTGGAGGGGCTGCTCGTTTCCACTTCTCCACCATGATGTTTGTTTATGGGAGCAAGATATAATTGATCCTGACAGCTTAAACAAAGCTGCCATTCACTGAAGGAGGGAGAGGATGAGGAGGTGTATGAGGAGGGGAATTTTAGTTACTGTGATGCTCTCTGTGGGCAGCGTCTAATAGAACCAGTTCACACAGTCATACTCTTCGAGTGGGCTATGGATGGCACAGAACATCACAGCTTTTTTTTTTTCTTTAATAACAAGTGTATTTTTACATAACTAGTCCGCTGTGTTCCTGTCAAACTGTGGAAGTATTTATAATGAAGCCCTGCAGCATTATTGCTGCCTTTATTATGAAGCATCATTCATTGTTAGCTTCATAGAATAAAAAGACATGAACATCGCCTGCTATTAATCAGCATTAATAGTGCTGCACTTGCTAAGTCGAGGAAAAAGCTTGGTAAGCAGCCAGCCCCACAACCTTTAAAAGACTTACATGAGAAATAATGAGAGTGTTCTCCTTTAATCTTAGTGCTAATCACTTTTAATTAGAAACAAACAGTGACCTCATATTTGTGGGGAAAGCAGTTTGCTAATAAAAAAAGTACAACTCTTAACAAGTGGGAGGAATATTGACTCTTGTAGTAAATGCAGTTCATTTTGATTGATCAAAACACAAAAAGGCACTTTCTAGATAACATCTTAGACTGTATACAAAAG